CCGTCTGAACCTGCGATGGTGGGGGTCTTTTCCTTCTTCTACCCACGGCTGTGGCTCGACCCTGTAGCTTGATAGGCGTGGTTAAGCCGGGTACCTCCACCTCGCTAGTACTGTGCGAGCTGGGCGATGAATTGCTCTGGTGACCACGTGCATCCGAGGTTGTCTGACGATCTACGTCTGTAGGAAGTTCGCTACTACTGCGTATTGTCGTTCGTGGAAACATAAAATTTTCCGCTTCGCCGTTAAGTCGCTGTAGTTCGGATTGACGCACTTTTTGGAACTTAACAATCAGCGATGGGGAGTCCACCGCATTGCCAGAGACATTGGTATTACCACGCCTAACTCGTGGAGACGAGGCTACTGCATCGTTAGCTTCTACCACCTTGTAGAGTGATGACGGTGGCAGCATTGCTCGAATTGGCGGCGACAAAACAGAATTTTGTGTTTTACGCCGTGTTGGATTGGAAGGAGTTGCAGCAGCTACTGTTGCATTATTGACAGTTTCCTCGACACGCTGTAGCTCAAGAAGGCTACAGGTTGCTGTTAGTTTTTTAGTAGGCGATGATGTTTGTGGGTTGGGTGATGTATTTCCCGTGGCTCTGAACTTTTCTGAAGAATGCTTGCCCTTAGTAATGCGCTTAGATTTTTCACGTAACGCTGGAGATGGCCGTTGCCTATTATTATTGCTATTTTGTGGAACTGCACTCGAATCTGATTGATTGGATGACTTTGTGTTGTGGGCAATGGTGCTACTATTGAGCTCATCAACTTCCATGTCGCTATTTGTATCTGCGGTAGTTTGTTCCTTCTCCTTCCTTGAATGATTATATTGCTTCTGCTGCTCTCTCTTAAGAAAATCAGTGACACTTGCCGATACTTGAATAAGCGTATCGAGTGCCAAAAAGTTTTGTACGTTTTTAGCAAACAAATCGTGCTCCTTGCTTTGCAAATGGGTTGCTAACGTATCGTACTCGATCTTGCAAATCTCGCATACACCGCACTGCTTATCGCTGGATTCCTTTAGCTCTCTGCAATGCGATCTGGGACTGTCTGGAGTATGTACAGAAGCTGATTGCTTTTTGAGTGCTTGAACGGCGGCGTGTTGCAATGGCACCGACTGTGGATGCCGCTGATCTTGTTGATCCTGTTGACGTTGCGAGGTCCGTGAGCCAAGCGACCTACGTGTCATACTTTGCACATAAGCCTTGGTCTGCAAACGAAAGGCACTGTCCTCGCTGCATAAATCAATTTTAGGCCACTCGTCGGGTTCCTTCAATAGATGATAGTATGGTCGGTGATTGTGTTTTATTGATTCGATCTTGATGTAATTGCCCTTCAGGTGGATATTAGATCTTCCTGCTGCTTGGGGTCCACTTGATGTTCCGGATGCGGCTCCCTTTAAATACTGCCGTAATTCGGTCTGTATACGCTGAAAAAAGCGTAACGCATGCTCAGTCTGCCAGATGGTGTACGTAGCAAGAGCTAACTTGCCAGAATTTTGGGAATTACTTTGCTGGTGCTGCTGTTGCTGTCGTTGAATGGAATGGGCCTCAGTTGCAATTGGTGTTATTTGTTGTGCTCCGCGCACACGACTCAAAATAGCATCGGCGCGCGTTTGCCGAGTCCTGCGCTGCGGGCCATTGCTGTCTTCATGAATATTCGCTGTGGGTGTATTGGGCGTATGAGGGCTATTAGATGTAGGCTGTGTTAAAGGAGTGACCGGCTGGCTACGTGTGCTCCTACGAGCTTCAGAAATTCCAAGAGACGAACCGTTTTCCTTATCGGTAATGAAATGGGTAATACTGTCGTTGAGGAAAAATTCAAGTGTGCCTCCAAGCGCCTTGATATCCGCCTCAATGCGCTTGGCTAGTTGATGATCGCAAATATCCAAGTAAAACTTAAAGTGGCAAAGTGGCCGCTTGCTCTTAATGACCTTTACTTTGGAACGGTGATGGGGCTGCTGCTGAAGCTCTGGCTGGGGCTGCTGCTGCTGCTGTTGTTCTTGTTGTTGAGGACTTGCTGTTCCTGTTGCGAGTTTGCTTTTGCTAGCACTTTGCTTATCCGACTGTGGTTGCATACCTTTAGGCGCAAATATGCTGTATTTGTTGTTGTTGATGAAGGACCAAGAATTAGATACAAATAAATTGAAATTAATTAGTTAATTTTAAATGCTCTATATAGGAGCAGCAGCCACCAACCAACTGACACAGCACTATCCAACAGCATCTTTAAAATTATTTTTATATATATATAATTATATTATATATTTACATTGAAATAATGGAGTGTTGTATCAATTAAATAAATAATTTCGTATAGTAATAAAAAAGAAGCGTACAATTTAATAAAATCAGCATGTTTATAATTTTTTATAGGAAAAGTCGTCGAACCAGATCCTAACTCATTTGATTTGGTTCCGTGTTGTGGCGGAGCTTCTGATTGGGTACAGTGGAGCAAGTGTTACAAAAAAAAAAAAAACCCCTAGTTAAGTCAGTTTTGTTTACAAAAAACTATACCAGATCCTGGAGAGCATTGAGAGTTGTGACAAAGATATATAGAAATGTAGTCCATAAATAAAAGAGTCCAAAAACTTAAAAAATCCTGAGGGTTATGTCGATGTCATCAAAACGAAAGAGCTATCGATGTTTTGTTCTAAGCGCCTTGCGTCTCTGGTTATTTATATTGTACTTCTCAAAATATGTTGATACGGACAGACGAAGGAATAGGATCATAGGTAATTATTAATTTATTGACTATTACATACAGTATCGATGTAAAGCAGAAAAAACAAAAAGAAAATCTAGACAAGGAAGTTCACCAGAGCATTTCAATGAGCAGTTCAAATTCAAAAAATTTTAAACCAAACAAGACAACTTTGTTTCCGTTTGCAATTTGTTTTTTCGGTTGTTGACGTAGAAATAGGGCTCCTTTTTTTTTGTGTACTCATTTGTATTTCATTTATGTGAATTTGTTCATTGCGTGTACAAATGAACACATACACATGCATGACTATATTCCATGTGCCGCAAAAATTTTGAAACGTGTGCAGGGTTGACTGTGAACCGATTCACGAACAGAATACGACCGCATAGGGAGTATCAGTAGCAGCTGTTTAAAATTAAACAGTTGTATATACAAATATTCAAAGAAATTGATAAATCATAAAACAAGCATTGTAATCGATGAATAGCGGTTTTTCCGTTTTTAAATGAATAACTAACAATTGTGCGTTTGTTTATGGAAATACAAATATAAGATTAATTTTTGACTAAGCAAAGAGAACGAACACAACAAACAATAGCAAACATGGAACAAAAAATAACATACATGTGTGTGTGCGTGTGTGCCTGTATGTACAGTTGTAATACGCGTCTATAAGCGCATGCACATATTGATATAAAGTAAATAAATGTGCTAAACAAATGTTAGCAACTTTAAAACGCATGCATGTATGTATGTATAGAAAATACATAGTATACACATATACAATAATACACACATATGTACATATCTATGGAGGTGTATGCACGCTTTACATGCTTTGTATGCCGTAAAGAAACTTCGACACTCGTTTAAAATACGCATACAAACTAAGCACGCACAGACATGCAGCTACAGCAACAACGACAGCGCCAGCATTGCGGCAAGCGGTGAGCCCAACAGCAACTTTTGGTTTTGCTGTCGCCGTCAGTCGAAACATGCCTTGCTCTAAACGTATACAATAGAATATATGTACATACATATGTACATACATACATGCATTTTTATGTACACAAACACAGCCGTGTATTTATGCGAGTGGATGTGTATGCTTAAAAGCGTTTTAGAGGTAGACAGGGCGCTTTAGCAAAAATTGTTTTCGTTATTTGTGTTATTTACAAATTACGAGTAATACTCGCTCATTTTTCGTGATACACAGCTACGAACTTTTGTCATCGTCACTTATTTCTCTTAAATTTTAACGAGAAAATACGAAAAATGGTGACGAATCGTTCATAAAAATTAACGAAAACAGAACAAAACATGCTACAATTCAAATAACATTTTGAAGCGTTCATTGCATTCACTCACACACAGACACCAACACACACACACAATATATACATACATATATATATGCGTATCTATATACATATACACAAACACTATATGCAATGGCGGGAACTGTGCTGTCTTATTTGTTTCTGAGAATGGTCTTACCTTTTAAAAATTCACGTAGTTGTTCGGCAGATATATTTCTATAGCCCAATTCATTTAGGTGCTGAAGTATAGCCCTCGCATCCAATGGCAAATGTGACATTTTTCCAGCATTTACTGATCTATATTTGTAAAAAAAAATGTTACTGTTTATATTCATAAACTGAGCACATACAAAACACCAACACACTAGATATATATGTATATATACATACACACACACACAAACTCATGTACTCACAAGCATACGTCCACCACTACTGCCAACCAAATAGCGTTTCTCTTTCCTTTTGTTGTTGCTTCGTTTCTTTGCTGTTCACTTTGTGTTTGTGCTTCTTTTTGAGCCCGCTTTGTGCTGCCGTTTACAGCCGACAATCGAATTGACAAGCAAGAAAATGTTCACTGTACCTTTTTTTGTCGCGTACTTTGCATGGTATTTATTTCTCCGATTACGTTAAAATTCTAGAAAAATTGCTTATTTGTGGCGAATTGAGAAACTTGCTGTTGCTTATGCGAATTATACGGCAAAACAGCTATAAATTAGCGTCCTCGTCGCGTCACTTTTTTCTTTTGCTTTTTTATTTCAGACTAAAATGATTTCGCCCATTTTCCAATGATTTTATAACAATTTCTAAAAATTAAGTGCACACACAAACTCAACTAGCACAATAACTCTTGGTTCAATGAGACTGTCGATAACGATTGGTATCGCTGACGATGGCACAAGTATCGCTGGTTGCAACTCGCTAAAACAAAAGTATCGATACTAACGAATACTACAAAATATACCAGTTTTCCTTGTTTACGGTTGCTTTGTCCGTATCTGCATCTGCGTCTGCGTCTGCGTCCATTCTTAATTTACTAATATTGCTCAAAATAAATTTGTTGAATATGTTCAATCAAAGTAACGTGTATTTTCTGTGTTTGCTTGTTATAGGTTTGTTTGACTGTTTTAAAAAGAAATATACAAATATTTTATCTGCATATTTTGTAAAAATTGTGATTTATCTTTCACATCCTACAGCCTCCAGTTGTCTTATTTCCAACGTGGACTGCTATCGTCGCGGATTAAAGCGCGGAACAACAACACCACCACCAACCACAAGTAGTCCAGCTCCATTAACGGCTAAGGAATACTTGGATAGCAAGTCGAGTTTTTCAACGTTCGGCATCATTGCCATTATATTTTCGATCATTGTAGTATCTTTAGTGTTTTACTATAGCATCATGTGTTATCCGTTCTTGTGTCGCGATGATAAAAAGTATCGATTTATGGATGTATCATCCACAATTACTGCAGCTACATCCCGTTCAATACAATCGATAGAGAATTATCCGGTTGACCAGAAGCATCATCATCAACTTGCCTAAGCTATTGGCTTATTTATGATATATATACAGGTATATCAGGTAGTGCTCATTAATGTTTGCACTTTATAAAACTCGGAAATTAAGCTCAAGATATCTTTTTTATCAACTAAGGAGATTGTGACAGACTTATTTTTGGATATTCTTTACAAATAGCCATAAGAAAAAAGGCGATCTTCTATATAGATTGTACTTAAAATGCCCTACATACAAATATGTGTACTTAATCCGTTCTTTAATTATTCACCTAGGATAGTGCCAATTCTTTAAAGATTTTATACATAACCATCTCCATTTTTATCATTATCATTAGTCATATATTTTTTGACTTATATACACATTTTACTTGATATATTCTAGTTTAATAAAAATTTCTTCCAACACGAACGCTTTTTAATTATGGAACGTTTATTTTTTTGCTTGGTGTAGTATTTTTTGTTTTCTTTTGTTTTTTTACAAATAGTAGAAAAATCTAATATTTAGTTAAGCAGTCAAACTTAGTATTAGTAAAGATTAGTTCAACTAAAAATTGAGGAAAAGTTGAGCTCTTTCTTTCGGGTTTTGGTGTTAAGTTATTACAGTTCATCCTTGACCTCATCGTCCAAGTCAATATCGCTTAGATCGATGTCCTCTTCTGTGGGCAGTTCCCCGTTTTTGCCATCCCAAGGATCGACGCTAACGATCTTTGGTTTTTTGGCGCCGCGCACCGGAGACGTTTGGCCACGTCCATAGGAGATGTCGCGGAGGAATTCATTGATGCCGTCCTTGGAGAAGGAGCCCTTGAGCACCGAAAACTTCATCTTCTTAAAGTTCACAACTGCCATTGCCGGATAGCCAAAGCCGCCTACTTCCAAGGCCTCTTCCAGCGCCAACTGTTGACCACCCTCAGCCCAAGCCCAGCCCCATAGCTTCTGCTTGAACTTCTCGCCCAATGTACGCAAGGTGTCCAAGAATTTGTTGCGGCAATTGGCATCGCAGTCGAGAATGTGAGGCAGCACAGAGACAACGCATAAGGGCTTGCCCTCGCATGCCGTATCAAACGTGGTCTCGTCCGTAATCTCAATCAGTTCTGGCGGCGGTACATTTTCAGTGTGCTTGTCATTGGCCCAACTAATTATGTCGGAAGCAGTCCGTCCGCCATTGTACTCCTCAGCGTCACTGGCGCGCTTCGAGCCGGCTGGGAAGAACTTGATCGTCGGATAGCCACGCACATTGTACTCAGCTGCCTTGCTCTGATGCGCCGTAGCATCCAAAGCGCCAAGCTTTACTTTGCCCTTCAGTTCCTTTGCTGCCTTGGCCCACTCTGGAGCCAGATTCTTGCAATGACCGCACCAGGGAGCAAAGAATTCTACCAGCCAAATATCGTCAGAGTTGAGAACCAGTTTGTCAAAGTTATCTTCAGTTAGCTCGATGACGTCATCGCCGGAGCTCGATGAGCCACTCTTGCTGCCGCCTCCGCTTCCGCTGCCGCCCCCGAATGCTGCTTGAACCTTCTTCTTAGCCTCAGCGAGAGCTGCTTCGGCAATCGCATTGGCTGTGCGCTGGCCATTGTAATCGATCGGTGTTTGCTTGTTGGCGCCAAAGATTTTGATCGTGGGAAAGCCACGTACGTTATATTTGCCACCCAGTTCGGAATGCTCATCGGCGTTAACCGAGCCAACTTTAATCACGCCCTTAACTGCACCGGCTAATTTCTTGTATTCCGGCACCAGACTCTGGCAGTGTCCGCACCAAGGCGCATAGAACTCAACAACCCAGATGGCATCACTTTGCACCACCTCGCGATTGAAGTTGGATGGCGTTAGCTCCACAACATTATCAGAGGGTGAATAAAATGCATTTGTTCCGCACAAAAATAGCAGAAATATGCTAACTAAAAGGGGCGTACAAAATTACATACAACAAAATTAATACACGTAAGTAAGAGCATGCGCTCAAGGTTACTTTACATTTTGATTAGATACTTACATGCATGTATTAACTGCATTATTATCTAGTTGACTTTACTTCAATATTAATTTCTTAGAACTATGGAATAGACTCGCTAACTGTAATCTTCGACTTACACGTCATTTGCTTACGGCTTTATAAGCAAGTTCTAATCAACAGCAATAATTTGTGGCCACCCAGAAATGTTAACATTTTCCAATACCAAAAGTGCCAATTGAGTCAATCATAGATAAGTTCGAGTACATTTTACAATTTAATATGAAAAAATAACAGAGTTGATACACAAGATTGTTTCTTTTTTTCTCTAATTTATGTTTACAGATGTTTTATTTATTAATTTTTTTAAATTGCCTAATATTTAATTAGTTTTTGTTTAAAATTCGAAATTGTATTGGTACATATTATACAAAGAAAATGTAAGTTCATGCGAGTATAAATTTTAAATGAAATATACAAAATTTGTCATGCTCACGCACTGTTATTGATTTGGCAGGGCCTTTACTTGTTTTCCGAAAATTAGCTAGCTGCTATGGAACGCAAAGTGGCTCGTTTGTTTGGCTTGCTTAAGATACTCTATTACAGCTATATCACTGACCAGAGAACAGTGGTTATATCTTCTGGTCATTTCAGCTAGAAGTCTCGTATATATTACTGCAACCACTGCAACATAGCTTGTTGGTACTAGCTGATAATTATCTGACTGCTATGGAACTCATGTGTTTATTGATGTGTTATAACAGTTTTTGCGGTTGTTATACTATGCACATGTGCACATGCTGTAGCACAACTGTTTGTTGCTGGGTGACAATTTACTGACCTCTATGAAATTCAACTGCTCGAGTTGGTTCAAGTGAAACCCATACATATGTACATACATATAGTAGTTATTATACATATGTATTTGAACGTTTTTTTTTTGTATATAATTTTTTGTTGGTATTTCAGTTAGTTAATTTCATGTGTCCTGCTACAGGTCTCATATATTTTACTCGCAGATTGTTTTATGAGCCTGTCTCACCAATTACTGGCCCACCCATTTAACCAACCCTCTGCCCGCCCATAGGCACAGCATCCAGTGTCTGGACTCGGTCTGCGTGTGTGTGCGTATAAGATAAAATATGTGGTCAATTTCACTTAATAGCGACTTAGTAGTAGTGTTGCCAAGATTTATGTGACGTTAATATTGCGTGCATAGAAAACTAGCGGACAACTTTGTGGTTATTGACTGTGTCTGTGATTGTGCGACTGTGATTGTGACAGTGACTGTGATTGCATGTGACTATGGTTGTGACTGTGACTGGGAGAGTGAGATACTAAGGATGTGACTTTGGTTGTGATTGTGACTAAGACTATGACTCTGACTGTGACCTAGATTTTAACTTTTGATTATTTTGATTGTAAATGTGACTGTGACCGTGACGGTAGCTTTCTTCGTGACTGTGACAGAGGCTGAGTGCCTGAGATTACACAGTAAGTCCATTCGACTGAAGTAAAGGGTTAATTGATGACAGTTATTGGGACTTTGTTTTTTATGATTATTGAATTTTAATGCACATCGAATGCTCTCGCATATAAAGATTTAATGCCATAACGTCATAAATGACAAAACAAAGAGAGCGAGTTGAAACTCCTAAGGTCTGAAATGTATATAATATTTGCTACATTTGCGCTTCACTTTCCTTTGACTTGACTCTCAAGACCCAAAATATTTGTGGGTATATTTATACGAATACGAACCCCACTCGACCTTATCAGCATACTTTGGGCGAAGCGTATGCCCAGCGGAGCAATTTTTTTATTGATACTCATCGTTTGGGGGGTGAAATTGAATAAGCGTGGAGTGAACTGTAACCCCTTACTGGAGAGACGCGTGAAACACCTTTCTATTGGATATGTGGATATGCGGAAATGTGGATATGCGACTGTCACAAGGCGTGTTTTCCTTTTATCGCCGAATGCCATTTTGCGATGTGTCATATTTACTTTGCGGATTTGCCCATTATTCACTTGACGACGCTCCGTTTGAGTGTTTTTGCGGCTTAGTTTAAAGTTGATTTTTTGACACGCTTCTTATTTTTATTTCCACTTTTTTCCTCTCTCTCCCCTCATTGTTGTTGTTTGTTGCGATTCCTTGCCATGCTGTTGCTTGCAAATTTTTTACGTTATCTATTTTTCTATATCATTGAACTGCTGTTTATGGGATTTGCTGGGTGTTCTCGGCTTCTGGTCGGATTCGATTACCATGGTCCGGGCTCTGCCAGACGAGGGGTTGTCTGTGCGTAAATTTTAGGTTGATTTGCTATTGACTTCATATCATCAGCCGCCTAATGCGACGTGCTTCTGCAAATACACAAAAACGAGGATAAAAAACATATGTATGCGCTGCAAAAGATCAAAATTCCTAGATATGGGTATAGGCAGTGAATAAAGCGGATTAATGACTGAATTGAATTGTTGGATCGATCAGGTGAATCCGAATGTGAATCCCATATAGATCTATCGCGTCAAAGTATATTCCATTTTGGCTCTGCATTGCGTAATATTGTAGATTATATCTACTTAGAGCGAGTTCAATTGGCTGATGGTAATTCGGGCACCAAATTCAAAGATATTCCAACATATATTGTGAATCAAACTTGTCATATTCCATAGACTCAACAATGAGCTGAATGAGTCCATAGCGTGGGTCAAATAGTGAACGAGAATTCAAATTCTTATTTCCCAATTACTCGGCAAAGTTCTTGGGTTTGCTTATGAAACTGTGCGAAGGTAGATTTATGAACAGAAGCAGTCCCACTTTGAGTTTCGGACGTATTTACCATTCCTTTTGTAAGCAAATATCAGACAGTGTCGAAAACTAAAACGTGTTTAAACATAATTTCTAGTTGAAGGTAAAGAATAAGTGAAACTATTAGCCCGCCTACAGTGCCGCAGTTTTGCTGGGTAGCAAAACTTGGCAGTAATTTTCTTACAAAATTAACTGCAAGTAAAGTGAATTTTAAGCAAAATATGTTAAATAAACGATCCTCAAACACCATATAATCATCCGAAGCCAAGGGCGATAACAATGCCAGCAAATAACCGAAAAAGGGCAAAATGACATCAACTTGCCTTCAAGGATTTTAATTGCCTTGAAAGATGCGGTATATGCCACACTCACACAGACATACACACATATATATATATACATACATATAGACATATATAAATTTGGGGGTCCTGCTACGTATGTGGGCACGAGATGCCTTGGCAAAAGATAACAAGATTGTAAACTATGAGAGGACAATGGAGGGTGTCAAAAGGGTTTGGGGGCTCATCGCTCTCTGTCCACTCGAAACTCTTGCTTATCCTTAAGCCTACATTGTCTACTTTACTTGTACGTGTTGCCTTTTTAATGTCATTTCAGCTACTTTGCAACAAAGAAGCCCGGCCCGAGCACAACTTTTGGCCATGGAGCATTTCGAAAAACGCCAAATCATTACAATTTAAATTGGCTAAATTTCATTACTACATCGTTAAGAAAGGAAATTAATTGTTTATATACAAACTGAAGATGAGCTTTGTCGCGTGATTGAGACGACACGACATCGGCTACGATTACGATTTCGATATATATTTATAATAAGAATCAGTTGTCTTTATTTAAATAATAAATCAGATTTAAACATTTGTAGGCTAAACATTTGATATACAATTAGTCTATTGCATATCTTAAATTTCGTGTCGGGTTCTCTCGCATCTCTAGCATGATTGTTTATAGTAGAAATTATTTTTGGTAACCAAAAAGTTCTGTAAGTTATATTTATCACTGGCTTTGGATACCGTAAGTCCACGGACATTGGGTATATTGTTTTTATGCAAATGAAACAGCTAACTTAAGTATAGCTCAGCCCTGAGATTAGATGATTGTCTTTACTTAGATGATTGTTAGAACTTAGGGTATTTTCTCTTCGAGCTTTCCTGTCTGACATACTCTGATTCGTTTTCTGCTGACGATAACATGAAAATAATAGAATATTTTCAATTAAAGTTTGCAGGGACTTACCAAGTGAAAAGACGTTTCCCTCTTTCTTTGATAATATCCAAGTTGAGTGAACAAGTTTTATTTCAGTTTTGTGGCCTTAGCGTTGCTGTAGTTTTATTCGAAATAAATACAAAAGTCATTATTAATCATAAAATTTGACTGCAGTACAGATTGGCTAAATACTTTTCATTTCATTAAATTATTATTTTTTATATAAAATATAAAATTATATAGCTCTACATTTCTCGTTGCCGCATTTACAGACTGGTCGAAAACCTGTGCAGTAATAATTTGCAGCAAAAAAAAGAAAACTTAATTATTTTATAAAAATATTTTGTTACGTTTGAGAACACTTTTCCATTTTTCATCTTCTCTATTTACCACTCCAGCTTTTTCTCATTTTTGTACTTCGTCGATATTAAAAAAAAATAATAAAGTGCACTTGTCGTTGGGTAGTCGAGTAGGGAATACCCTTAGTTTTTATTTCTTCTTTTTTTTATACATATGAGTTTTCAAACAATGGTATGCATTAAACATAGAATGGGTTATCATACTTCTTATTGTAATTCATATTCCATATAATTTCCTTTTATCTATTTATATTTGACTTAACTCTTATCCACTCTAGTTTCAGAAGCTGAATACTGGGAATAGGGTATCTACATAGAAAACATTTACTTTATATTTTTTGCTGGCGAATACCTGTATATCTGAATACACGGCAAGCACTTTTTATGCCCTGCAGTCATTGATAAGGATAAGGGTATATTGGGTTTGTGAACATCTATGTAAGATGCTTGAAAAGGAATTTTGCTGATACAATATATACAATAGATATTATCCATTCCAAGTATTAGACTTTGAATATGCTAGGTTTTGAGTCATAATCGCTAAAAACGCAGATTAGGGTATTTGACAGTCGATCACTCTTGCATAGCTATTATTTTTACCTCCTTTTGTTTTCATGTGGCGCACAGTCGACAGTTTTTTTCTTTAAATATTTTCAGCGCAAAATCAGCTTAGGGGCTCATTATCCTTCAACGTTCATTCATGTAATTTTTAATTAATTTTCAGCGCCACAAAATCGAAACAAAGAGAAAACAAATTAATATACAAAGTATTGTGAAAGTATATATATATATATATATATGTATATATATGTACGGCTGTGGCTATGGACTGCCAGCAACATTCACACGCTTTCGGCTATTTGGCGGCAAGGTATCCCTTTTACTTCTTTTTGTTTCTCTTACTTTTTATATCCCGAAAACCCTATGAAGGGGTAAACGATTTCCTGTTGCAGTAGAAGAAGAAGAACAGAAGAAGAAATATAGTACATACATTTTGTTAGCTACAATAACTGCCAAGGGCATTCACTAGTCGTTCTTTTGGATTTATAGAATTTGTAATTGATTTTAATAAACAGCTAAAGAAAATGAATTGCTTTTACGAAACATTAAAGATGCAAGATTCTTCGTACCAGACACTTTTTCAAATCGTACGCAAATATTATAATTAAATTTTCAAAATATATTTCAATTTGCCAATCTATTTTTTTTTCTCCATTGTGAAAACATGGTCTAAAATATATTAGAAAACTTTTTTCCAATAAGTCAAAGAAGATGTTATATCAGATATACCAGAAACAACTGCAATTGTTGATTTCGCTGGGGTTCTGAAGGGTGAGTTCTAAGTCTTATCTTCTTGCTATTGGGGTCTCAAACGCGTTGCTCTCCTACGCTTAATTAAATATTCATCAGACAGACAATGGAAAAGTTTTAAATACTCATCAAGTTGTGGCTACGTCTCCCAAGACACACCCACACCGTAAGTTTTCTTCTTGATTTCGAGATTTCGTTTGTTACCCTTATGGCAAGTTCGCACTAATCAATATCAACAAATCAGCATTTACTTTGTATTTGAAATCCATGACTACCCTCTGTTTTCTTCTGCTCCTTCAGTTTGTCTCACTTTCTCTGCAGTCATAAGTGGAATTCCCCCATGGAACATTAAAATCTCGTTTATTCACATCAAACTATAAACCTCATACGAGAACCCAACCCTTTTTCAAATACATTTCTTGCTTTGTTTACAGACTTACGGGCGTGTAACAACAACAGCGCATAGAGTGAGCATACTGTGCCTTGCTCAAAAGTTTTAGGCAAACATTCATGCAGTAAAATCATTCGAGCCCTACACTAGAAACTCATCCTTCGCGGAGAATGACTCCAAAAATAATTGACTTGGACGGGTATGGAGAGGTTATTATATTTTGATTGGTTTAGTCGAGACATAACTTCAGTTTACTGAAATGTACTAGAATTATTAATCATAAACAAGAGAAATTAGCCTTACCATGAATCTGATAAGTAAGTTTAAATTTTAGTCAAACGTTTGCTGCAAAATAAATGCAAGAGCACTCTTGATAGATATCGGCAGCTTTTCAATTGAATTACACAGCTTCCAAAAAGTAGAAAAGTCAAGCATATCTCACGATATGCAACCCTCCAATCAACAGCTACAGCGAAATTTCAGTATCGTATCCTAAAACACAACTTCCATCAAACCCTTTTTGCATGTGAACCCATTTGGGCCAGGATTGCCGTAAATACAATTAACTAGCTGTGACACCCACATATTAAGAAGCGCAAGGTATGCCATAATTGGGAAAACAAAGCCTGTTTGATGTCACAGTACAAGACCAAAAAATGCCAGAGAACAGAGAATTCGCTCAACTCTTGTACACGGAATATACATCAAACGCAGTCCTTGTCATCATATGTGACATATTTGAAGTCAGATAAGCGTATCCCAGAGTATATGTGCGGAGCTCAACTGTAATTATAGTAATGCATTTACGGCCGAATGGAATGTTTTTAATGAATTTATATTTTCAGCGTCAGAAGTGGGGTGAAATGACGATCTGAAATCATGTTATTCTCTATGAAATATTAATGTTTGCTGTACATCCTAAAATAGAGCGAGTCACAGCGCCTACCTTAACGTACTTAACGTACGTGCTTCAACTCTATTGATTCCTTCTATTCCAACTAAGAATAGTCATAGAATACATAGCATACAATAGAGAAAACTAATAATTAGCTCTTTAAATGCACTTCCATAATTCTAATTTTGTCCTCAGCAGGAAAGCTATGTAGGGTAGATGTCTTTTCTTAATTGAATGGATTGTAAATAAACTAGTTTTGGGAGTAAGGCTGTAAAATTGTAACTGACACACCTTATATAGGGGATATATATTGGGTTAACCTATAAGTTAAAAAACCATTGACTCTAAAATATATAATATAATTAAATGTTGTGAGTAAGACTTACAAAAATTAAATACATTTTATTATATATTTTACTATTAAATTTTTGTAAGTTTTCTTTCAATATTTTAATTCTAATACGATATATGCATATATACTATGATTGAAAATAACGAAATCCAAAGAAATAATAATCATATGCCATATTTAAAGGGTATTTCAATCACGGTGCGTGAAGAATTCATGATTATCATTATTATTATTATTTTTTTTTTTGAAAAACCGTGGGAGGCCCTTGCACGCTAAAACTTATGTTAATGTGTATGTGCTATAGCAGCTATAGGTACTTGATATACTTCTATCCCATTTGTGTCTATTTCATGAAGGTCAATGGACTGACAATAATATTGATATATTGAAAGCATTTTCTCTTTCGAGCATTTATCATATTATCTAATATGCCACCAATACACAAATTTTATATATTCTTCTATACATGTTAATTATTCATTTGTTCAGTAAAAGTATTGAAAAATAAATTTACATTTCAATGGGCTGTTACGTAGCTTAAGTGAGGAAGTGTTGCTTATCCAGCATGACCTAGAACTTGAGCTACTTTGTCCAA